TTTTTTTTTTTTTTTTTTGAGGGGGAGAGGGGCAGAAGGAGAAGGAGAGAAAGAATCTCAAGCCGGCTCCATGCTCAGCACAGAGCCTAATGCGGGGCTCGATCTCACAACCATGAGATCATGATCTGAGCCAAAGCCAAGAGTCAGACGTTTAACTGACTCAGCCACCCAGGCACCTCTTTAAAAACTCTTTTTAGCCATTCCATAGAGTTATTAGTTTTGAATAGAATATATTAAAGTCTAGCTTAATTTTTATTTTTTAAACAAAGCCTGATGAAAATCTTTGATAAATGAATCAATTATGCATAAGTATATACTGAGAAAAACATACTTACTATAGGCTATGATAACGATTCTCAACCTTTGCACAATCAGTGATATGTCACTGTATCTCCTGGGGACATACTGGAGAGGACTTTCATGGGGACAAAAGTAGTAGGTCTGGGGCCCTGAGAGATAAGGGCCTCACTCCTCCACAGACCTGGTGAGCTCAGAGAGGCAGTGCAGTGTGGCGTGGAGGTTGAAGAGGAAGGACTATCAAGATACGCTAATTACCCAGCATGTCAGGTGAGGAGGAGGCCATATGACTAGGAGGGCGAGGCCAACAGGGAACACAGGAAGGGGACTTCTGCATGCCCAGACCACACACCAAGGAGAAAGAGTAATGCAAGACTGTAAGTTACCTTGGCCACACACAGTTTGCAGCCCGAGATTCACTCACTCAGTGCACAACTTAATCTGACCACAATGAGTAAGCAGCATGAGCAGTGAAGGAAATTACCAGAGAAGAAACTTTAAGGGGAAGGCTGGAGTTTCGTGGATTGTTAGATTAGTCACCTTCTACCATTCTCCATCTCATTTGTTCTCCTGATATTGATAGTAAAATATGATTGAGGTAACTTATATTAGAAACATTCCCAACTCTGGGAAACTAAACTCTGCAGGAAAGGTTACTTACTCTGTGTTTCGTATTTTTCTGTCTATCCCCGTTCACTGTGACCTTACCCCACTGTGCTGTCCCCTGCCTGCTGCCGTGCACCCACCATCAACATTTGCACTGTCTGTCTCTGTTCTCTCTCTTGTGCTTACTACCACTTCCATCCAACCTCAGCTTGCTGTCCACCTGTCCAAACAAAGAGAGTGGAAAGCACGATGTCGTGACACACTAAGACTATTTTTAAAATGCAATGTGTTGCTACATACTGTTTGGCAAAAAATGAGGCAGAGGATATGAACAGTATTAAATAATTTGTACTTGCTGTGTAACATAATTTAGGCAGTACACAAACTAATTATACTCCTAAACATTTTCTATAAAGCTTAGTCAATAGCTAATTTTAAACATAAATACCTCCCGTATTACAATTTTTCTATTCTCTAAAGGTAGTATTACACAGCACCCTCTCCAACCCAGCAGCTCCAAGACAATTAAAAAAAAATTTTTTTTAAATGTTTTTATCTATCTTTGAGATGGAGAGAGACAGAGCATGAACAGAGGAGGGTCAGAGAGAGAGGGAGACACAGAATCTGAGGCATAGGCTCTGAGCTGTCAGTCAGCACAGAGCACCACGCGGAGCCCGAACTCATGGACTGTGAGATTATGACCTGAGCTGAAGTCGGACACTTAACCGACTGAGCCACCCAGGCACCCCTAAGACAATTTTTTTTAAAGTGCTGCCTATATCACTTAAAAAGTCAGTAGGTTATACCACTGATACTGTTTTATTTCTAAAATTACATTTGTTAGTATAGCTCTTAAACATCTTGACAATATGTGGCATGGTATTTATTTACACTACTTGTCTTTTGTGTCTTTCTTTAATCAAAAAGAAATCTCTTTTTTCCCTTAGATTTTGATGTAGATTATGAATCCAGGTAAAAAAGAATGAGGAGGACTAGGGTCTGATTTAGTCTTCGACATTTAATAAGGAATTCAAAACAATAACTTTTTAAAGACTAAATGCTAGGGTAGATAAAAATAAAACTTTTGGGAAAAATATATGAATATAACTTTATTTTCCGTGACAATTTAAATATGATTATTCAAAAATATGGATGATAATTATTTATTTGTGTTTTCTCAAATCCTTGAAAATCTCAAATTCTTGAAATTCATGCTGTGGGAAAGCTTAAAATCAGTCACTATAATAATAAAGAACACAAACATTTCCTTTTCTGATTAGACTTAGGCTCAACATTCCTTACCCTAAAATGTAACCAACTGTCAGAATATTACAGTGATATTCTAGTATTTAATCAGGCCAATATAGCAGGGAAATCTGTTGATTTCATAAGCTGTTCTAACAGCCAAATGAATGTTGTCTAATAAGAGAAAAACCACCTCTGGACAGGCATAGGGCCATTTTCTCCTCCAGTGGTTCAGCATCCCTCTCAATAAGATATTCATGAGGAAGCCATGAAATGTATTAAATCAGAGGTGGTTTCCTACAATATACATCTAGACAACATAAAACATCTAGAAAAAGCTGAAATATTCATTTAGCTGCCTACGAATTTCCAAAAGTTACCTTAGTTAGAATAGTCAAGGGCGCTTGGGTGGCTCAGTCAGTTAAGCATTTGACTCTTGATTTTGGCTCAGGTCATGATCTCACAGTTTCGTGAGTTCAAGCCCCACACCGGGCCCTGTGCTGACAAGTGCAGAATCTGCTTGAGATTCTCTCTCTCTGCCCCTCCCCTGCTTGCACTCTCTCTTCCTCAAAAACAAAAAATAACAAACTTAAAAAAAAGAATAGTCAAAATGAAACTTTTAAAGTTTTAACCTGAATACTGAAATGGGAATGGCTATAATGCAGTGACTAATTCAGGTGTATATTTTTAAAAGGAGAAGAGAAAATCCAAATAAGAGGCACCAATGCCAACTCACACATCTCTGCTGCGTCGAACTTCATCCTGCTCTTTGGACTGGCGGCGGCGCTGTCTGGCAGATGTGGAAGAAGACGCTGATGATGTTCCAGACTCTGAGTCCTCTGAACTTTGGCCTCCAGGGCCATTAACATCAAAAAGATGCTGCTCTACTGCTGACCGGATGGTTCTTTCTAAGAGTCTAATAAAAAAAGAATACAGAGTCACTCAGGTAATCAAATTTATCAATGATTGTCTTTAAAAGTTTGTATCTCGGGGCGTCTGGGTGGCACAGTCGGTTAAGCGTCCAACTTCAGCCAGGTCACGATCTCGCGGTCCGTGAGTTCGAGCCCCGCGTCAGGCTCTGGCCTGATGGCTCAGAGCCTGGAGCCTGTTTCCGATTCTGTGTCTCCCTCTCTCTCTGCCCCTCCCCTGTTTATGCTCTGTCTCTCTCTGTCCCAAAAATAAATAAATGTTGAAAAAAAAATTAAAAAAAAATAAATAAAAGTTTGTATCTCTAATTTTGGAAAATCTGTATTTCCAATGGTAGATCTACTATAGTTTCATGAACAGAGATAGCATATGAGACATCTCAAAATATCTGTATCGTGTGTTAAAGATAAATCCCAACCTAACAAATCCTACCAATTTGATAACCGTGCTTCTCATCTCTGTAGGTCCAGGATTACTGAAATGCTCACAGCAAGTCTAGCAACAGTTATCAGAGGCCATCAGGAAATAAGGGTCATTTATATAAGGCAGAATGAGGAAATATTTTTTTTCCTCATAGAATAAGAATAGACCTATTCTTATAAGGGTGAGTTCCTCCAGATGTCATACCAGTTCTTTAGAGGAAGGCAGTATGGTTTGTGAAGCAAACTGGCACAAATAATTTTATGATGGCTATTATCTATTTAGAATCCCTTTAAGATAAAATTATGCAGGGAATAATGCTATTAAAAAGGAATACCTCACGAGAACAATTACTACTTAGAATAGCAAAATCTTTCTGAACCTTCATTAAATTAAATTGTGATGTATACAGTTGAAGCTGCATTCATGCAAACATCCCAATACTCATTACTGAAGATGGTAGGATAGATTTCCTTTGTCCAACATGAAGAAATACTTCAGTACAGGGGCTAAAAAGAGTGCATGATGGGATAGATAAGGTATCCTTTCTAAAGCTGTATAATCTTTCAATGTGTCCAAACTTCTTTTATCACCACACTATTTAATTCTAAATAGCTGGCATGGAAAATTCTAAACATATTCTCCTCAAACCACATTTTTCTGCACTTGAAAAAAGAATCGCATCCAAACTCATCAAATGGTACACATTAAATATGTATAGTTTTTTGTGTCTCAATAAAGATATTAGAAAATTTAAAAGAACCATGTAGTTTTAAAATGTTCAGATTAAGAAAAACATTTGCTTAAATAAAATGGGTTTTAAGAAATTTAAGAACTTGAGATTTTCCAAATGTAGTTTTCTACCAGATGCATAGTAATTTCATTAAAACTATTTGTAGACATTGAACAAGTATAGTCTAACTTGGGCATTAGAACTTTTATATTTAGAACTCCATACCCCAATGATTCAAGATTACCTAACAGTGGCATGCAGGGATGTCAGTGAATTAATATGTACATACAAACCCATCCCACACCTTTTCCAAACTATGTAAGATATAAAAGAAGTAAAGGTTGTCAGGAAACACATAAGCAAGAACACATCAGTCTTGGTATATTTCCGGAATCTCTTTAAAATTCACAAAGCTAAGAGAGGTCAGTCCTGCCCTCTCACTGCTTCTTTACCTAACAAAGAAGAAAAAAAAATCCCAATTTATCCTGTTGGATCCAAATTCATACTAACTAGTGCTTTTTTAAATTCTCTCTACTTCCTTATCGCATCTTCCCTCCTTTTCTGCCTGATCCCTGTTGATGGAAGATGCTCTAAAAAGGCCCATTTATGTCTCAGGAAGGAAGGAAGGAAGGAAGGAAGGAAGGAAGGAAGGAAGGAAGGAAGGAAGGAAGGAAGGAAGGAAGGAAGGAAGGTGTGATGGAAAGTCTTTGAGCAAGAAACTATTTATAAATATTTATTTAGTGCCTAATATACATCAGGCACTTTTCTGTATGTTAGGGATACAGCCATGAATATGACAGACAAGACCCCTGTGTTTATGGAGCTTATGTTGCTGCTATGAGGCAAGATGGGTAATAAATCGTGAAATTTCAGATGATGATAAATTCCCTCCAAAATGGAGTCCAGGATTGGAGAGTAACTGTGGATAGTCAGGGATGTCTTCTCGGACGAGAGGACATTGAAACAAAAAAGTGGATTATAGGAAAATTAATGGCCAGGCTGAAAAACAGCCAGTACAAGGGCTCTGTGGCAAATATACGCTTGGCCTATTCCAGAAAGAGAAGGCCACGAGGTTGAAGCATAATGAGCAATCTAGTCAGAGAGGTAGGCAAGGGCAGGTAACTGGAGTTTAGATTTTAGACCATGTGTAACTGGTGGCCTGAGGGAAAAAAAGGCAGATGATGGACATAATCAATAGAACACTATTGCTGCCCTGTGGAGAAAGGATTTGTTGCCATCATTAATTTGCTTTTGATTCTGTGTGCCTATTGGGCTGTAAAGTCCCTGAAGGCAGAGCCCAAAGCTTATCTGACATTACACACTTAACACTCTGCTTGGCATAGTGCAGGTACTCAATAAATGCTGGCTGATTAAACATTATGAGGGAAGAAGGAAAGATACTGTTACTACTTTAGCCTTTAATGACATCCTTCATTGCAAGATACCTCCCCCAACACACATTTTGCAAATATTAATAGACTATGACATTATTTTGACTGAAGCAAACATCTTGCATGTTCAAACGGTTGAGTCGTCTCTAGTCACACACCCACACAGAAGCTCAAACAGGAACACTTCTTATTTAGTCCTCTTCTCGGGTTTTAAAAATAATCATTGGTTGCTTACTGTATTAATTTCCCAATACTATACACCATTAGAGTAGCTTTTTTTCCTGTTTGATAAATGGGAAAGGAGGGGAAAAACTCCAATCCAAAAAACTTACTCTCCAGTTGTTGAAACATTGCTGACTTGGGATACATGCGTGCTGTGGAAAAGAAGCACAAAGAAATAAAGTCAGATTAGAGCACAGAGACTGTGAACCCAATGTCTGAAGGGGATTCCGGGCTGAAAGTATCAGCCAGACTCTGACTGTTCTCTGTACAATGTTTAACCATCCACTGACAGATGCTGATTTTCACTTATTTCTAGAATTAGAGGATGGCCCTGGGTGTTTACTCCTGAAAGGTGCTTCCCTCTGCCCCTCCATTTTAAAGATGTCTATGACATAGAGTTCTAAAGTGACCTTTACAAACCATCTCTACCCTCTAACCCTACCACCACGGTTCTAGTTCAGGGTCTTTTCATTTTCCCAAAATGTTAATACAATGTTGCTGACTGCCTTCCTGCTACCAACTCTACCCATTCCTGGTGCTCCCCAGCCCAAATCTGGTCCCTCCTTGTCCACCTCTTCCAGACGTGCATACAGAAGCAGCTTTCTAAAGCTGCTCTGAACATGCAGACAGCAGCAGGAACCACAGGGGACAGAGAAGAAGGAAGCAACACTGGTTTCTACAGGACTATTTCTAAGCCATCTTTTCTTCTGAAGTTCCTCAAGATGGAGAATCCCTCAAGCTCTACAGTGTTTCATCTCAACACCTAATTTACAGCCCTTTTATTGAGCATTTATAAACTCCTTCTACCTCCCCATTTTCTCCAAAGCCTGAATTCCTGCAAGAGCATTACAAAGTAGTCAAACGTTAAGTGAACAGTGAGATTATAGAACACTACCTGATCAGCACACTCTGGAACTTCTCCCCTCTTGCTTGCACCCTGTGTTCATATAACCACAGTGAGGGTTGAAGCTAGCAAATACTTTAGCAGCATCAATACCAAGACTTTCTCACAGTCAGCCTTTCAGTGCTTAGTCAGCTTCTAAATCAAGATTCAAAAGTCTGCTTAAAAGAAAATCCTTCATGCTTGTCAAACTACAGTTTTACATAACAGATAAAACAGTGCCCTTTTTTCCTCATTCTTTGTAGAAGACACCTGAAGAAAATGACAGTCCTTAATGACCAATACTGATGGCAGCCTTTTAAAAAATTGATTTTTTTCAACGTTTATTTATTTTTGGGACAGAGAGAGACAGAGCATGAACGGGGGAGGGTCAGAGAGAGAGGGAGACACAGAATCTGAAACAGGCTCCAGGCTCCGAGCCATCAGAGCTCGACGCGGGGCTCGAACTCACGGACCGCGAGATCGTGACCTGGCTGAAGTCGGACGCTTAACCGACTGCGCCACCCAGGCGCCCCTAAAAAATTGATTTTTTAAACCATCTGTTGGGTTTTTCTTCTATGTACATGTGTATCTCATCTCTTTCCATTCTGAATCTAAGTGCCTCAAGGGACGGTATGACACTTCTCCTTTATTGCTATTATGCTCCCTACCATCACCATTATCATCAGACAGAGCCTAGCACTTATTATCCCAGAGGTGATCAACACTTACTCTTTAGCCCAGAGAATTTCCTTTAAAAAAGCCATAGCTATTTTCACAGCCACAAACCACAGTCAAATCCCGGAAGAGACCCAAAAAATAATGCTATTGTTCACAAGGGAAACTGATGTGAAAAATCTCAATAAATGAACAAATGAACAAATAAATACACTCTAACACTTACTGAGTACTTAGTATGTTTCAGACACTGTGCTAAGTATTTTGTACATAGATTTTCTCGTTTGCTGTTTACAATAGCCCTCTGAGGTAGGTACTATTGTTTTCTCAATTTTCAGATGAAGAGGTTAGAGGTTAAGAAACTTGCCCACAGTGACAGAGCCAAGAAGTAGATGAGCTGGAATTTGAACCAAGAAAGTTTTAGCTCAGAGTCTAAGCTTTTAATCACCACACCAGACATTCAATCCATCACTAACTAGAAGAAAAACTCACTAGAATCATCTTTGTAGATGGAGGCTTGGACTTAGGTATTTTACTTTGCTTTTAATCACAACCATTTTTTATCTGCTTCACAATGCCTGTTATTCACAGTGGTTCCCAGGTTACATAACCAATAATATATCCTTTGCTGTTCTCTGTCCTTAACTGGAACAGGCAGTTCCTGCTTTTGATGCTTTGTGGCTCACTCTCTGTAAAGTCAACACTGTATAATTAACTCCTGCATTTCACTTCTCAATGCAGTTGCACAAGCTTAGTTTTGGGAACATGGACCAATGTGAATGATGACTCCAGGAGAATACAGAAGAGGGAGAAAATGTGGATCTGCAAGATGCTAAAAATATTCCAAAGACATGTAAGTATAATCAGCCAATTAGTCCTCCAGGCCATCTCAGAATGAGGAGATGTACATCCTTTCTTCTCTTCTACATACTTTTAACCTGAACTTCTTTTTGCTTATAAAAGCACATGCTGATATTTTTATGTTCCTTTTGGGGGGCTGGGGGCCAGGACACAAAAAGAAAGGTGAGGAAGAAAGAGACAAGAAAATGACATCAAGTAGAACCAGGTTTTGAGATTACTAACTGAGGAAGTGCTTCTCAAACATTAAGGCATAGCTGAATCACCTAGGAGCTTGTTTACAAACAGACTCTCGTTCAATAGTCTAGGTCTCAGGAAGGGGACTGCCTTTCTAACAAATTTTACAGTGATTTTGAGGCTGCTGATTTGTGTAAGACACTGATTAGCAAAGCTGTAATTCCCTGCAACTAAAATTCTTCAAGACTTCAATTACTTGGATATCACAATAGCTATTTTTAAACTTTCTAATCTAAGTAATGAGGGTATGAGTTGGAAAACTTAGGCTAGCATAAGTGAATAAAAGGCAATATGTCAAAATTTCCCTCATAGCTTATAACCTAAGCCATCTAAATCAGTCTTGTAAAATTTATTATTTATTTTTCAATGTTTGTTTATTTTTGTGAGACAGAGACAGAGTGCCAGTGGGGAAGGGCAGAGAGAGAGAGAGAGAGAGAGAGAGGGAGACACAGAATCTGAAGCAGGCTCCAGGCTCTGAGCTGTTAACACAGAGCCTGATGCAGGGCTCAAACTCATGAGCCATGAGATCATGACCTGAGCCAAAGTCGGCCGCTTGACCGAACGAGCTAGTCAGGTGCCCCCAAATCAATCTTTTTTTTCTTTTTAATGTTTATTTACTGATTTTTGAGAGAGAGTGCGTGCACAAGTTGGGGAAGGGCAGAGAGAGAGACACACAGAATCCCAAGCAGGCTCCATGCTGTCAGCAGAGAGCCCAATGTGGGGCTCGAACCTACGAACCATGAGATCATGACTTCAGCTGAAATAAAGAGTCAGATGTTCAACTGACTGAGGCCACCCAGGCACCCCAACATAAATCAGTCTTAAAGAGCCATTTTCAGAATGCAAAATAAATGAATAAATCAATAACAAAAACAAGTAATTAAATCATATTCAATTTTGCTTATATATTGATCTTAGGTCAAATTTATGATAATTTAGTTTCTTCAACATTCCTTTGGAAGTTTTGGTATACTTAGCATGCCCATGTTTTCATGTTTTTAAAACAGAATTTGTGTAAAGCAAGTATTCTGAGAAGAGAATATTTTCCATTGGAAATCAAAAAAGGGAAGTTCTGGTCTCAGCTCTGCAGTTAATAAGCTGAAATCATACATTGTCAGTTAGCCTGGCTGTTTGGATTGGTTTCTTCCTACAGAAAATGAAAAGCTTGGCTACTGATCTCTGTGGTTTTCTTTTTAGCTCTAAAAGTTTACTTCCCTAAAGTTTAAATCATTACAAAAGGTTATAACTGCATAATGTTTTATGATAGTTTCAGTCATAGTTATGGTTTATTAAATACCAATATGGCTTTGGTCAGGTATCCAAACACCTCTATAGTTCCTGTGGGATAATTCACCACTAACAAGATTTCTAAGAATATTTAATGACAGAAATAGGGGTTATATTTCCATAGCTATAATTGACTCATGAAGGTAATTCTAAGACACTGATAAGAGAACAATAAGCAAATAAGCTAAAGTGAAAGATTTCCTTCAAGCCACATGTAGCTTGTTTTTTATCCTCTGCAGAAAGCTAAGAATAATGAATTCTATCAGAGCCCTTTGCTAACAAAATTTCTTACCATGCTATATAAACACTTGAATATGGAAGAGATCATATCATAATGTTGATAAAGCAAGTATTCAAAACTGAAAGAGGGGCACTTGGGTGGTTCAGGCAGTTAAGCATGTGACTCTTGATTTTGGCTCAGGTCATGATCTCACATTGGTGAGATGGAGTCCCCCTATGGGCTCTGCGTTGACAGCCACAGACAGAGCCTGCTTGGGATTCTCTCTCTGCCCCTCCCCACCATGTATGGGCATGCTTTCTCTCTCAAAATAAACAAACATTAAAAAAAAAAAAAAACCTGAAAGAAATACGCTT